CTACCTACTCAGAGTGTTATTAGGTGGAAGGTAATCATCCTTCCTTCCAATTGCATCCTGTAATTCATACAGGAAGTGTGTTATACCTACAGTTATAAGACTGGTGAAAGTCATTCAAACTTGTACAGTGTACTTACGCTATCAGAGAGTGCAAGTATCTTTTTTTTTTTTTTAAACATTCACGCCCTGCTGTTTGTGCCTGCCCAGCGTCCCTCTCCTCTTCTTCTGGTATCACAAATTGGTTTTCTTATAATTTTATTTTTATTTATTTATTTTTCCCCCAAAGCCCCAGCAGATAGTTGTATGTCACAGTTGCACATCCCTCCAGTTGCTGCATGTGGGACGCGGCCCCAGCATGGCTGGAGAAGCTGTGCGTCGGTGCGCGCCCGGGATGTGAACCGCGGGCCGCCAGCAGCGGAGCGCACTCACTCAACTGCTACACCACGGGGCCGGCCCTGCAAGTATCTTTTTTATAGGAGCAGTTCAAAGACTTCATTTGATAGGGCTTATGGATGCACATTTTGATAAGTATGTACTTAAATGTACACCGATAAACAGACATTTCTGTCTGAAGATATGTTTCAGTCAAACCAAATTCATGTGATTTTGTATTTATATGTCATAAGAGTGAGAGCCCTACAGCTTAATCAATGCGAGGATCACACATTTTAACAGGTGGATGATTTAGGTAGACTCCGATAGATGCAATTCTTAGTCTACCTAAGTTAGAGTGCATTATAATAGTCCATTTCTTAGGGATGATGTGGGCAATAATTCTTAGATACTCTATAGTACCTTTAAGATATCTTCCTTAAGTATTTAAGATCTTGTTTCTTAAAACATGTGATACCCATTTTGTTGTTGGACTAAGAAGTTAACAGGATGGTAAAACATACATGGAAATTTTGCTTAAAGTTTATGCTTTATTGGGACTCTGTTTTTTCTGATCACCTACAAGTTCAATTTAATAGACCGTGCAGTTCTGTGGTCATAATCTGAAGTGCCATTTAATCAAATCAAGTCTTAGAAGCAAGAGGAGAACGTTAAACCCAAATGTGGCTTTGACATTGATGATAATACTTCCTTGTATACTAATCTTTTGTCTTTGCTATTATTTCATTCATAGAACTGAGGAATGAAATCAGTGTGAGAAGATGTGTTCCATAAAAATCTAAACTCTCTAAAAGATGTTTTAAAGTCATGCAGTCCATTTCAATGAACAAGCTCCTAGATGCTTTTTAATTTCTAAAGATATGCTCTACATGGGATATTTACTTTTCAGTAGTTTTCTTTTATCTTCACATGAAAAAAGGACTCAGTATTCATAAGCAAAATTTGCTACCTGATTTATAAATTTTAGCTCATTATAAATACAGCCATTTTTTAATCTGAGATTTTGCAGTTTTATTCGTAGAAATTGTTATTTCTGAGTCTACTCTAATGTACAACAATGATTTTTATTTTAAATTACTTATTGTTCCTGTTCTCTCCCATTTTTGCCCTGTAGCATTGGTTGACATTTCATGGAGAGTGAGTTGGCGTAGGGCTGGAAAATATGTAATTGTAGGAATCACCTGCTCTTGAATTTCCCATTATATAGTAGTCATGATCCAGGCAGACTTTTCATAGGTGTTTGATTTGGAATGAGAAGTTTTCTTCTTGCATGACCTGTGATTAAAATGTGGCATAATGGTAAATAAATAGAAGATAGTTTCTGCATAATCCAGCTATGAATCAGAGCTGGTGAAGCGATGTAAATCTTTGACCTGTATCATATAAGCAGTAGCATACGTAATTGGAAATATATTTTAAGATTAAGTGCAATAAACATTTTCTCTAATACTCTCTGGTTTAAAGCAGGCTAAGTGTTAAAATGCAGCCAAATGCATACCAAGAGAAGTTTTGCTTCACTTAATGCTCCTCAAAGGAATTCCAATAAAAGGAAATCCATTACAACTACATTTGAATATTTTCTTTTTTTTAATGAGTTATAACCATGAATGTAAATATTTATCAGTTGCTGTAGCATGATGGTAAAGGCAGGGGATAGACTATATTTCTTCATAATTGAAAATGAAACTTACCATTACAATAATGTTGAGATAATAGCTTACCTGTTGCATTAACCTTTATAAATCTTTATGGTTAAAGTTGCAATTTTCAATTAATTGACTGGAATTATACACGAAGTTCCTGATGATAGTTTGTGTTCTTTTCTGGATACTGTGGTAACTGGTACGTTTTTCCCATGTGTAGTTTAGTTTGTGTGTGAAAGTGTATCTGTAAAGACGTTTTGTATATATGTACATTATTTCTCTGCACTATAAATATAAATTATATTATTTCAAAGTCATACATGCTATTGTTTATAATAAGATGGTATTTGCTACGACACTTCACTTGTCACTTGGTAGATCAAAACACATTGGCTTCTGTTTAAATCAATTCGAGCTGCTATAATAAAAATACCATAGACTAGGTGGCTTAAACAATAGAAATTTGTTTCTCACCGTTGTGTATCTGGAAAGGTTAGGATCAAGGTGCCCAAGGTGTGGCCAATTGGATTCGTAGTGAGGGCTCTCTTCCTGGTTTGCAGATAGGCATCTTGCTGTATCCTCACACAGCACGGAGACAGAGAGAGAGAAAATAAGCTCTCTCATGTCTCTTCTTATACGGACACTAATCCCATCATGAGGGCTCCACCCTTGTGATGTAATTACCTCTCAAAGGTCCCACCTCTGAGTACCAACACATTGGGGATTAGAGTTTCAACATGTGAATTTTGGAGGAACACAAACATTCAGTCCAGAGTAGCTTCCCACAAGGGCTTTATAACTTTGGCTATCTATCCTATTAATGGACTTGATATTAGGATAATTGGACTAGAGCCAAATGTCATCTTTTATTTGAAATTTTGAAATATCCTATGTTAATGAAGCTAAAATACTAAAAATGTTTTACATGAACCTATGAATTCTAAAATATTTTAAATTTTAAAGCATCAACAGAAATCTATTCTTCAAAGTATATGGCTTTGAATTGCGTGTATACTAGGGAGACAGAGGCATTAATTTTGTATTCTATTAATACCTTTATAGCTTACTATTTCACTGTTTATGTTCATTGTCAACATTCTGTGCTCAAAGTTTTTATTTCCTCTCCCCACACAGTGTCTCTTTAATGCCCTCTAACTCAGTTTCATTCATCATCACTCTTCTAACTTTACATTCTAGGGGCCAGCCTTGTGGTGTAGTAGTTAAGTGCGCATGCTCCACTGCTGGCGGCCGGGGTAGGATCCAGGGCGCGCACCGACGCACTGCTTGTCAGGGCGTGCTGTGGCGGCATCCCACATAAAGTGGAGGAAGACGGGCACGGATGTTAGCCCAGGGCCAGTCTCCCTCAGCAAAAAGAGGAGGATTGGCATGGATGTTAGCTCAGGGCTGATCTTCCTCAAAAAAAAAAAAAAAAAAGTTACATTCTATACGCTCTACAGAGACCTCCTATATGCTCTACAGTGACCTCCCTGTAAGTCTCCTCTTGAAATATTTGATATAGTAGACCTCTAACGCTCTTGAAATAGAAGGCTTGGCATATGATAGACACTCAATAAGTATTTGTTAACATGTGAATGGAGAAAAAATAACCTCTCCCTATTTTCTGTACCAGCCAGATTCTATTCACTAGACCATTTCCTTCTTTGATGCCTCTTCTTCCCTCCTATATGCAGCCCCCTAGGTTTCAGTCCTCAGTTATTTACTTTTCTCTCTCCATGCTCTTTCACTTAGAGGAACCTCAACTATTGCCTCTACGTGGATAACTCCATTCTTTTTCTCCAGGCCAGCTTTCTCATGAGCTTAAGTTACGTATCTACAATTGTCCTCTGGACATTTCCATTTGGATATCCTGCCATCTTTTCAAATATGACTGGTTCAAAATCCAATGCATGATGTTCCTCTCTGGTGGTTTTTTCCTTCTGTGTTTCCTAATTTCTGTCACAGTTGTACTTTTTTCATAGCCACGATTCATTTTTATCTTCTTCCAATCACTATACATACTAAATGTTTGTTGCATCTCTTAGAAAATATTTTGAGTTGTTCTTCCTTTCCCTTAACCAATGGCTGTAAACTCCTTGTTGGGGTCCCTGAAACAGACCATCTTCAAGTCATCCCATCCTATAAATTATGGCCAGAGTTTATTTCTTAAACTATCTCTTTCTTCATGAATTTCCTTTAGTTTAAAACCTTTAAGAGCTACCCACTATGGAAGTGGTTTTCAAAAGCTTTTTTATTTTTTAATTACTAGACAACTTTGGTTAAATAAAATCTTAAATGGAACTCAAACAAATAAAACAGTAAATCTAGAGTTGTTTTGAATGAAAATAATTCAAGACTCTTTCGTTGGGCTTTACCTATACAGTCCCCTGGGCACCTCTCTGGAATTTTGGGACATTTTAGAATGCAAATTGAAACCTATTGACTCTAGTATAAAATTCTTATTTAGAATTAGGCCCTGTTCCATTCAACCAACCTGTTTACTACACCCAATTGGTCCATGTAAATTCCATCTTTGTGCCTTGGCTTCTGTCATGTTTAGTGCCCAGAATGCTGTTAAACCACTTTTCTGCTTCTTTAGGTCTTATTTGTATTTCCAAATGCAGTTCAGTCACTACCACTTTAACTGAACATATGCATGATATTTAGTAAATAAGAGAATTGGGTATTTTTTTCATGATGTATATATATTTTGGGGGGTATTATTTTCTTTTTTGGAAACTACTTCCGTATTACATTTAATTATTGGATAAACAGATGTCACTCTTTTATGCTTATCATATTTTAAAGCCCTGAACTGAATGATTTTAAGTGTTCAAAAGGAATGGGTCCATCGTTGTTTGATGCTAAATGTATACGTTAAAAGCACGAATCTAAAAACAATATCCATGTGACTAACATCAATAATTTAAACATATACTTATTATTTTTACATTTGTTTTCTCTCAGGGCCTGCAACATACAATCCTGTTTTACAGAAATCTTGCTCCATACCCTTATTTGTTAAAGCATCAAAGCGTTTTAAAGATTCCAAAGAGATTACCCCTGGTCCAACGACATATGAGGTTTGTCAATGATATTTCTCTTTTATCAATAACACAAGAATAGAATAACTTCCAGAAAGTTGAAAATGTCTGTATTCAAGTACTTTCCATATGTTTTCTCCATATTACTGACTAATCAAAATATTTTGGCTAAGGAAGGCTTTTGTGAAAACATATTCTGACATTTTTTGAAGAATTATTTAAGAATTTAAGAATTATTTAACCATTTATTTATCTATGAATAGCCTCTACAGAATTAATATAATTTTTTACATCCCTGCAACTTTAAATATTTACTTGTTTACATACACAAATTGAAATCTCCAAGTATTTATTGAAATCATGAATTTATTAGAGGGCTCAGAAGAAAGCCCTGTGAATAGAGTAAAATCGAGTATTGATCTTTTATTTTCTTATAATAAACGTAGATGCTGTAGGTTAAATTCATAATAAATAAAGGACTCTTTTAAGCTGTGGGCCTTCTGATTGTAAAAGGGAGGTTTAAATAAATCTGCAGGGTTTTCCAAATTGTGTTCACAAGAGGCATTAATTCCCCATTTGGGATGAAATAACTCCCCTGTTCCTACCCTACTAACTCTTGAGAGTGAAATATTCATAGTGGCTTATAGCAATTAATTTAAAAGTTAATACTCAGGGCAAACCACAATGAATGTTCTTTTTTGGTTTAGTTAATGACAAGCTTATTTTTATTGAATATATGCTTAGTTCTACTTATTTAAAATATCATAATCTAAATAACTTTTCAGCATTCTATCAAAAGCAGATTCATAAAAAAGAAAAAGAAAATAAAAGGAATAATGAAAGTTGTTCTTTTGTTTATTGACTGTTGATTCCTCCAGAAGACTGCTGCTAAAGCCTTCTGATTAAGTAAGGCTAGTTTTATTAGACTTCCTTCAGAAAGGGAGAATCTGCTAGACAGAGTCTTAGCAGTGTTTCAGAAGGTGGAAGTCCAAGGAGGATCTTTATCACATTTTAGGATCTCGGATGTGTGATGTAAGGCAATTCTTGCAAATGGGGAACTGGTTTGGATTTGGCAAAGTTTATGACATGTTTACTTTGAATAGTTGGGCACAGTGAGGAAGGGTCTTGAAGCAAGTATTGATCAGTAAGCTATTAGTCTTGATAAGTTAGGTATTATAGCTATTCAGAGTCTGATCATATTGTCTTTCGCTGAATGCTTTTCCCCCTCCTTTTTTGTGTGTGTGTGTGTGAGTAGATCAGCCCTGTGCTAACATCTGCCAATCTTCCTCTTTTTTTTTTGCTGAGGAAGAGTGGCCCTGGGCTAACATCCGTGCCCATCTTCCTCCACTTTATATGGGACGCCGCCACAGCATGGCTTGCCAAGCAATGCGTCGTGCCCGCCGGGGATCCGAACCAGGGAACCCTGGGCCGCCGCGTCAGAACGCGCGCACTTAATCGCTTGTGCCACCGGTCCGGCCCCTCCCCCCTCCTTTTTAAAACTGATTTTAATGGTGTCCACAAATAATAAACGCCTAATGTTATCCTTTTTCATTTTGTGATACATTTTTTATAGAAGATGTGCCCACTAGACTTTCTAGTATTTAAAGGTGCTCTTCCTTTTTATTTCATTAAGATTTTATAAATTATATATATACTTCCTCATAGTTATTTATTATTCTGTCAGGAGAAAATATTTATGAATTTAATAATGATATTTATTAAGGTATTGGCTGAAAATTTAAACTAATATATCCTATATATACTGCACTGCAAGGTAATTTTCTGTTGAGAACTGCGTCTGTAATTATTTTTTGTCTTCCCAACACCATTTGTTTCTTTTAATAATTGAAAACTTTTTTTGAACACATAATTTTCTTTCATAATTTTTGTTCTTTAAAGTAAAATTTACTTTTAAGATGACAGTTGATAAATTACTTGGTCTTTTTATTATAAGTTGCTCTTAGTTTTTTTATTTGATGCTTCACTCTTTCTCTCTCAAGTTTAATAAGTTTAAGTTCATGGCTTTTAAGAACATTTGCCTTAAACATTTTACTTTTCTTTTTTACAGAAAAAGATGATTCTAGAAATTATAACATTGTTTTAAGACTGCAATATCGGGTTCTATGTGAAAAGTACTTAAAAGCGTATGACCTCTGCCATCAAGATGGCAATAGATCTTTTAGTGTCTCATGTCCACACTGGTTTTGAAACTGTCCAGGGCTGATGGTCTTTACAATATTTTTTATAATAACTATAGCTCTCTCTGGAGTTACACATTTGTAAGGTCTGCTTGCCGTTTTCATTCTTTTATGAGCTCTCTCTTAAATTTGCCAGGAAGAATTAGTTTTCTCCTTCTTTTTGGTCAGAGTTGCTATTGAAATGTGTCTTTACTTTGCCCATTATATTTCAATTATAAGCTAATCTGTTTGTCTCTTTTGCTCCTTCTAGTTATTGGTATTTGTTGGTTCACTATCACAGAGCCTTTTGAAAATCTAATGAAAGCTAGGGGTTCTTTTCTTAGGGCGAAAATGCATGTATGCTTATAATAAAAAACTGTGCATGCAATTTTAAAAGATTTGTTGATTGACGAAAGTTTACTTATGATTCCAATCAAGAACTCCCAATGGTATATTCTGAGCTCCATGAAGGCAGGGACTTATTTAATTTTATATTATTAGGGTTTCAACCACAGAATCTGGCACATAGTAGTATATCAATGAATGTTTATTGTATAAATTAACAAAATGGGTAATCCTAGGATTTTCTTCCTGGGATGAAATCACTAATCTTTATCTAGAAATAAAGATTTACTTGTTGACTTAGTTCTCAGTGAGAAGAATATGTATAATATTCTTTTAAAATAACAGTAGGTTTTGTTGATTGATTCACATTTTCTTGCCAAGTAAGTCTTCTGGCCAAAAACATGCATTTTTAAGGATTAGATAAGGCTCCACATTATTTTCTGAAATTTAAAATTGACAATTATTATATAAGAATATAAAAAAACTAGATTAAAGAAACTTCAACGAATTAATTTAAAAAATTCTTTATGCATTACAGAAAATTTTAAGTACAGCTTTTTTTTAAAAAAGCAAATTCTACTGAAATTAATTGAAATTCAATAATACAAATTTATTTTTTAATATAATTTTTTTCTACTTTATTGAGATATAATTGACATATAACATTGTGTAGGTTTAAGGTGTACAATGTGATGATTTTGTGCACATACGTATATTATGAAATGATTACTATAATAAGGTTAGTTAACACCTCCATCACCTCACATAATTACCTCTTGTGTGTGTGTTAACTATAGTCACCATGCTGTACATTAGATCTCCAGACTTTATTCATCTTCTAACTAAAATTTTGTACCCTTTACACAAACTCTCTACATTTCCCCTACCCTCTAGCTGCTGGCAACCACCATTCTACTCTCTATTTTTATGAGTTTGGCTTTTTTAGATTCCACATATGTGAGAACATACAGTTTTTGTCTTTGTCTGACTTATTTCACTTAGCATAATGCCCTCAAGTTCCATTTATATTGTTGCAAATGGCAGAATTTTCTTCTTTTGTATGGCTGAATAATATTCCATTGTGTGTGTGTGTGTATATATATATATACATATATATATATACACACACACACACATATATATATATATACACATATATACCACATCTTTTTTGTCCATTCATCCATTGATGGACACGTAGGTTGTTTCTATGTCTTGGCTATTGTAAATAATACTGCAATGAACTGGGGGTACAGATGTCTCTCTGAGATAGTGATTCATTTCCTTTGGATGTATACCCTTCTGATGTATCCCCCAGTGGGATTGCTGGATCATATGATAGTTCTATTTTAAATTTTTTGAGGAACTTCTATGTGTTTTCCATAATAGCTATACCAATTTACATTCCCACCAACAGTGCGGAAGGGTTCCCTTTTCTTCACATCCTTGCCAACATTTGTAATCTCTTGTCTTTTTGATGACAGCCATTCTAACAGGTGTGAGGTAATATCTCATTGTGGTTTTGATTTGCATTTCTCTGATGATTAGTGATGTTGAGGATCTTTTCACATACCTGTTGGCCATCTGTATGTCTTCTTTGGAAAAATGTCTATTCAAGCCCTTTGCCCATTTTTTTAATCAGATTATTTGGATTTTTTTGCTATTGAGTTGTATGAGTTCCTTTTATATTTTAGATATTAACCCCTTATGAGACAGATGGTTTGCAAATATTTTCTCCCATTCCTTGGGTTCCCTTTTCATTTTGTTGATTGTTTCTCTTGCTGTGCAGAAGCATTTTAGTTTGAGGTAGTCCCACTTGTTTTTTTGCTTACATTTTTGGTGTCATATCCAAAAATATTGTGAAGACCAACGTCAAGGAGTTTTTCCCCTACATTTTCTTCTAGTAGTTGTATGGTTTCAGGTGATAGATTTAAGTCTTTAATTAATTTCGAGTTAATTTTTGTGAGTGGTGTAAGATAGGAATACAGTTTGATTCTTTTGCGTGTAGATATCCAGTTTTCCCAACACTATTTAATGAAGGCACTATCCTTTCCCATCGTGTATTCTTGGCACCCTTGTCAAATATTAGTTGGCAATATATGCAACAGTTTTATTTCTGGGCTCTTAATTCCATTCCCTTGGTCTACATATCTGTTTTTATGCCAGGACCATACTCTTTTGATTACTATAGCTTTGTAATATAGTTTGAAATCAGCAAGTGTGATGCTTGCAGCTTTATTGTTCTTTCTCAGGATTGCTTCGGCTACTTTAGATCTTCTATGGTTTCATACAAATTTTAGGGTTGGTTGTTCTATTTCTGTGAAAAATGTCATTGGAATTTTGATAAGAATTGCATTAAATCAATAGATGACTTCAGGTAGTATGGAGATTTTAATATTATTAATTCATCCAATCCATGGACACAGGATATCTTACCATTTATTTGTGTCTTCTTCAATTTTTTTTGTCAGTGTCATAATTTTTGGTGTACAATCTTTTACCTCCTTGGTTACGGTT